TCTCTGCTTTTGTTTTTTTTGGAGAGAGATCTGATTGTATTCTATAAAGAACAACTGAGTGCTTCAAAGGGGGACACACTTCTTCATCAGAGTTTTGCTAAGGACATTGTCACCATACTCAGGATTTAGCCATATGCTACCTCTCTGCTCCTGACAATTACTGTGTCTGCAAAGAACCAGACTGATCCTGTGAGAAGGGCTGTCTGTAGGACTGCTTCACCAAACTGGCAGTCGTAAGAGCAGCATCAGTAACAGTCTGGGTGCTGCAGCAGGCAAATGCCTCATACCCTACCTCTTCCCTGGCAAGAGCCAAGCATCATTGCTGGCTGAGCACCTGCAGCACTTCTGAGCAGGTGATGAGCAGCAGCTCAGCAGATGAGACATGACTTCTGTGAACAGAGAAGTGCTCTTACTACTTTAGGCTTTCAGTGGAAAATACAGTGAATGCAGCTCAGGCACCAACAGCTTCTGTGCTGGGAGTTTCTGTGGGATGCTGCTGCTTTGCACATCAGCTATAAAGCCAACACAGACCTGCCCAGGGAGGTGGTGGAATCACCATCCCTGGAGGTGCTCCAAAAATGAGTAGATGTAGCACTTGAGGCTATGGTCTTGTGGATAGGGAGATGCTGGGATGGAGGTTGGACTTGATGATCCTAGAGGTCCTTTCCAACCATTGTGATCCTATGATTGTCAGTTTGAATGAAGCATGAGCTGACAGATTCTTGGGGGCCGAAAACATGCTAACCAACCTGGAAGCTGGGAGGGCACAGAGCAGCTTTTGGGGGCCTTTAAAGCTGAGTCAGGAGGAGATGAGTGTTTCCTGTTTTATGACCAGTCCACACTGGCCGATCAGAAATTGTGTTCAGCAGTGCCAAGAGTTTTGCCTTTGGAACTGAAGTGTCACAGGCTTGACAGTATTTGGATTCCACAATATGAAATGAGAATAATGATATTCAGAACATCCTATAAAAGCAACTGAGCTTTCTGAGGAAAATGCCAGTTAATGATTAAAGTTTTAGTGGAAATACTTGTTAAAAACCAAACCAACACAAACAAAAAATCCACCACCACAAGGAAACAAAGGCTTGACAAGGATCCCTGAGTCACAAGCAGAGTTGAAATCTTGAACCACTAATCTTTTTCATAAGAACCAATCTGTGTAACTCCTTTCTTCAATTTTTCATTCATTTCAGCTAAAACCTATTTCAGATTTCACAGAGAAGTCACGCAGAAGTTGCGTATACATGTGCAAGGAGATGTGATGTGTGTGTGAGGAGGGTGGGGATACATAAGAATTCTAGCTCAGACTTTTCTTAAGGCTCCCCAGGCACATCTGGTTTGTGTCAATCAGTCATGTTTTCATATTTCTAGATGGGAACACCTTGAAGTGTTGTAGAAAATCGCTTGTGTGCCATAGAAGCAACGACACTTAATTCTATAATTAGCTTCAGGCAGTGAGGCAGCTGAAAAGATTTTTTTGCCAATTTTTATAGCTTATTTTGGCAGATTTTTATTAAAAGGAAAGATACTAATTAAAATAACTTTTGTTTTGAACTCTCAGACCTTGTTTACAAGAGTGCTTCTGTTTTTTTAAAAATTAGAAATAAAGAAAAAAAAATCCATTGTAAAACCTTATGATATTTAGAACAGGAAACTTAGGTAGTAGGCTGGAGTCTCATGTATTTTAATGAGAAAGAAGACACAAAATGACTTCACTTTAAGGATCTGAATGCATCCATAATGAGGATAATGTCCTGCCCCCAGGTCCTTGTGGTACAGGAGAGATGTATTACAAAGAAGAGAAGTGAAAAGTGATTTAAGGTGTTCAAGATACAAAATATTATTAGTTCAGGAGGAATTTAAATTGAAGTCATAAACTGAAACACACATGGAAAGTGTGAGAAAAAACACTGAATCCTCTGCCCAGGTCTGGGAGAATGATTTTGAAGAAAAAGTAGAAAAGTCTGTGCAATTTGTTACAATAAAACCCTAACGTTTTGTTTCATGGAAATTCTTCTTTTTCAGTGGCACCTGTGGTGCTTGGTCACACAGCAGGGCAGAGAACAGGCAGCACGGGGACTCAGTGTGTGCATCCCTGCAGCTGAGCTGGGGACAGGGGTGTCCCAGGTGTACCTCACCATCCTAGGGCAAGAGCATTTCAAATGCTGTTTAGATAAAACCATTTCTAACCACTTTAGCCATCTGCCCCAGTGGAATTTCCCCTAGTCTACTGTGAGAGGGAATGTGTAACATTTATAGCTTTTTACTGTGAAATGGAAAGATTTCTTCCTCCCCCTCAATTTTCAGAGATTCCTTGGAAAAAAAAGAATCTCCTTGAAAAAAGAATCTCAGCTCTCAGCTTACATAATGTTGGTGTATCTTTTTGGAAACCTACAAAACCTAAAAATCTACAAAACCTAAAAGATACAGTTCCACATCCTCTCCCTGCTGCCACTGACCTGGGCAGGTTCCTTGCTCCTGCAGCTGCTTGCCACATGCACTCACCTCTGCTTCAAACCTGGAGGCTACCTGGGCTTGGTCCTGTAACCCATGCAATGCAGATAATGTTTTGCACACTTATCACATGGAGTTGCCTCTGTGTAATTAGTCCTTTAGATAGGTGGTGAAGCTGATTTTTGGCCATGCCCAGCCTCTAGCAAGTGTGTGATTGTACAGCCAGCTGAGTAAGCCAAATGGTCAGGATTATCCTTCCATGGTAAAAGTGCAGCGTTGTGGTGGCATAAATCAATCTGAGTCCCACTGTACAGCAGTTAACACTGAAATTGGACCTCTGAAATAGAGAGATTCTGTCTGAAATGATGAGCGTCTCATATTTGGCATTTGGGACTTCTAAAGCCTTTCACTGAGCACTTTTTCTTGTTCATATGTGAAAATCAGTTAATGTGATTCAAACTAATTGCAAACTGTGCTGGTAGCACTGAGAGAAACATTGATATCAGGTTCTGTAGTGCCTTGCTGTGGAGTCTTGTAGGTGTGGCATGAATGCCCACAACAGTGCAGGAGGAAGAAGCCTGGCTTGGCAGTGCTTTGCAGATAACCATAAACCAGCTGCAATAAACCACTGTCACAGCAATGCTGTGCAAGCCTGGCAGTAAACTGATGGTGAACATCACTGCTTATCTGCTCTCCATGCTGATGTGCCTGCCCTGCTCTTCACCTGCACCTGGAGCCAACAGCTGCTTCTGACCCCATCTCCACATCATCCAAATCAAGCCAGATTCAGGGCCAGAGTTCAAAATTGCCACTGTTGGTGCCAAAAAAAGTGAGCAGAGATTTTAGAAGTCTTTTATTACACATTGTGGATGTTTGTTATTTCCATTTGGGTTACTGTCCACAGCCTGTCCTTCTCCGGGCTGGTAAAGATGCTGCAATCAGACATCCATCTCCTTGTGTCTTAATAAAGGCCTCAGCTTGTGAAAAGTGGGGACAAAAAATACGTTTTTAAGAGTACATAATATATATGTTATTTCATTAATTGAACAAGGAGCATTTTTTATGTCTTTTACACATATGGTGTTACACATATTTCTATTTCAAAAGAAAAGGCTTAGTTTTGTTAAACAAAAAAACCCTATTATTATTGTGATGGGATACACAACCATCTTTCAAAATCCCCATAAAATTTTTCTGCTCAAAGGAGTTAGTCTTATTTTCTGTAAAGTCTTCTTAAAGTGTAATTCTTCATTAAAATTAATAAGGCTGTGACCTACATAGTTTACAAAAGAATTAAATAGTGTAATAATATGAAGACCATATTCTTACTGTGCAGTTAATTTTTATTTTTCCTTTATATTATGAATATTCAGTTCTTCCTTTGAAGTATGTGTCAGGCTAATGCACAAATAGTGTTCACCACAAAAGAATAGAAAAAGGATGACTTTGTGGCCTTTTCTAGCAAAGTATGCTGATAGTTTTAATGCTGCCTTCCTCCCTAACCCACCATCATGATGACCGACTAAATACTCTAGCATTGACTTTTGGAGAACTTTGTTACTTTTTTAAAATACATATTTTTGCTGCCCATGTTTCCACAAGGAACATATTGTCAAACCTACAAGAAAAGGTCTGTCCAAATGTTACCTACAGTTGAGGTCCAGATCCACTTGATATCCAAAGCCTACTCTAATCTTTGGTCCTTGAAGACAGTCCTGCTATGTTCATGGACCTTTGGTCCCTGAAGCCTACTTGGAGCATGTACAGACCCATGTTCTGGATTTGCCTAGTAAAGTTTACCTGAGCAAGAGCAGCAGAATATGGGTTAGGACACAAGCTAGAGACATACAACCCGTTAGTAGTTATCACAGGCAGACACAGTAGCTGAACTGCTGTTGTTGCCTGACTTTACCTGTTATAAGCCCACTACTGGTGGTTGTCTGAGACTTGGCTGATGGTTTATAGTGAGAAGTCCATCAGTGGAAATGGCTGGCGGCGTGTTAAAAAAGTACAACTTTACAGGTCATATCCTTGTTCCCAGGCTTGGTGCAAGGAAAGGACATTTTCTTTTAGCAAAATCTGAAAGAAAAACTTCAAAGAAGTGTTTTCTTTGATGGGATGCAAAGAAGTCCTGTGTCCTTGAGGAGGATTGTTGGCATTCTGCAATAGTTTCCAAAATTGAGGGCTATGTGTACCGTGTTTGTCTCTGTCTGAGTTTCTTTTAATTGGCACATAACAAATGTAAAGTTAGAAAGTGATACAGCATAGAAGAAGATAAGGTTAAAAAAAATCTTAAACAGACTTGAACTACATTACTCTGCTGGCAGTTTGAGTTATGCCTTGTGGATCCTTAATGCATTTTTTGTTTTAAAAATCACTGTGACCTGTAATTGTTCCACGGAACTTCTTTTTGGTGGAACCAAGAATAAGACCATTAAAACGTGTATTCAGTCTTTAAACTGACTTCAAGTAACTGAGTGGTACAGGTAATGGTCACTATATCCCAGTTTATTTAATTAAAAATTCTTTCTTTTTCATTCTTCCAGTTGATCTTAAGAAAGGCTCATGTCCAAGTGCTGCAAAATCAAACCTCCCCAAGCCCTGCCAGTCTGGACTTCGCCCTCCGGGTTATTCACGGTTGCCAGCAGCTAAGCTGACTGCATTTGGGTTTGTCAGGAGCTCAAGTGTATCCTCTGTCTCCAGCAACCAGTCAAATGACAGTGCTCAGAGTGATCAAAGCAGGACAACCAACCGTAAGTCCAAAAAGTTTCCTTCTTTCTTTTTAAATATCTTAAATAGATGTATTCCAGGATTGTCCAGACTGGCGTTTGTGTCTAATTTAGGACCAATGTAATCTGTGCAGCACTCACTAATCTCTTCAGTGCCACTGAGTTGTAGGTTTGGTATCTTGATTTCCAAGTGTAATTTAAAAAATATTTTTAATAATAAATGAATAAGTGCTGAATGTATATTGCATATAGAATGAGCCAGCTTCCCTGCTGCAGAGGAAGTCACGTTACAAGTGAAACTGAGGCATTTTTGTATTTGTTCTTACTTAGAATACCACTTCTTACAAACTGTAGTAAGTAAATAATCACAGTAAACTGTGTTTGGTAAATACCTTGCAGCCATGCAGAATACTTTAGGACAATGATTATCTAGAGATAAGCAACATGTTCTTTCTCATCTGCTTTTTTTTTCTGTCTTTTAATATGCAGTGTAATAAACTTTGTTTAGAAAATTAATCAAATAATGCCAGTGATACGAAAGGGATATCATAGCTGTTGTCTCATCCACTAGACTTGGAAGGATCCTTTGGCTGAAATGTCATTTCAAATCCCATTTTCTGTAAAGCCTTAGTTTTATCGAGTACAAAGTAACAGTCACTGGATTGTGCAATCCTTGGGAAGTGGGTGCATGCCCTGGGCTGAGAGCAGAAAGGGGGACTGAGGCATTTTCATGCCCATTTATCTTTTGAAGACAGGGTAGAACCTGAAGTGTGTCAATATCAAAGCAAGTGGTATCAGCCCAGGAGGGTGCAGACAGTGGGGACCAGGTGATATGGAGCACCAGAAGAGACAAGGTGCTGCAGGCTCCTAAATCTTTTGGTGTTGGTATTAATTTGAAAATAATTAGAATAGTTAAAAATGCTAAGGATTTTCTCTTTCCCCTTTTATATGGGGTAACTGCAATGCCAAAGACTAACATGTCCAAGAACTTCTCACTTTTCCAATGTCCCCAAACACATGTTTGTACCTTGTTTTACTGTTAGACTGATCATTCGTTTCTGTTGATTTTCTAAGAGTAGTCAACCTCTTTTGCTTTGTGCTTTTACCCTATGTTTATGCCTTTGGAAAGCTTTTCTTTTTATCCAGCGTTGTAATCTTTTAATCTTTGATTACATAAAGCCTTTGTTAGGGACAGAATTACCTGATTTCTGATGAGATCTAAGCTATATCTCTGCAAGAAGTATTATTATCTAGCAATTTCAGGTGTGAATCTGAAAAAAAACCCCACATCTGTAGGTACAGTACTATCCTTGAACATAGTGGATGCATACAGGTTCATACACTGAGAATTCTCTAAAAAGAAAGTACTCCAAACTGTGGAATTTGAGTCAATTGATTTCTATTCAACAAAAGTAGAAGCATTAGTAATCTCATGCCCAGAAAGTTACATCTTCATTCCTCTTAAAGTTAGTTGATTTTCTTTATATATTCTGGTGTATTTTTATATTATATTTGTACATTAAGCCCATAAAAAATGAAACCATATTCCAGTCACTGCAAGGATGTGGGAGTATTTGGTGCACACATTTTGTTCCAGCTCACTTGGTTGAAGATGGAAACCCTCTTTAACATTGGGATTAGGATGTTATGACTATTTTGTGCATATTGCAATAATGTTTCTAATGGACATGAAAATTACCCAGAGGAATTGTTTGCCTGGCAGAAATCTGAGTAGAGACCTGCCACATGATGAAAAATAGGACCTATCACTTCTGCTCTTGCTAACAAGTTAGATAACTCATCTAAACATTTGTGTAGTTTCCCTCCACCTCTGTGGGAGAGCAAGAGAATGAGCACCTCTTGAGGGTCATCTCTCTGTTGTGGTTCCTGTGACATGCACAGCTGTCCAGCCTAGAAATCTTTTATTTGTCTTCAATTCTAAGTGCATAATGCTTCCTCCTGGACCAGGGTAAGAGAAGGAGAAGGTGTGTTGCCAAAGAGGTGGGGGCACGCCCTTTGTTTAGGGTGTCAGCCCTCGGGCTGTCTTCACATGAGGAGCCACCAAACATCCTCTGCTTTCTTCGGATTAAAAGCAACTCCCCTTTATCACTCTTGATAGGGCAGATAAATAGGAAGAAAAAATTGTTTCCTTGCTGTTGAATTATTAACTTCCACAGAAATGTTATCAGTGTGAAACTGTATCATCTTTTTCTATTTATAGTCTGTGTGCCAGCAAGAGTGAAATCAGTTGCCCAACACCCAGGGAGCACAAATTAGTTGCTTTCCATTCCACTGCAGTTTATTTAACATAGATCAGCAGCACACTTCAGCCTGCATAGAAAGTGACCCCAAGAGTCGAGGTAGGGGAGAAGTATTGGCTCAGGAATCTTAGCATGAAATATTATTTCTTCACTTCCCTTTCTATTTCCCTTCACTGCCTGATGGTTTTATTTAAGTTAAATAAATAGCTGATTCTGTAGTTACTACCTGAGATCATGTCTTTGATTAAATCAGGCTTCCTAGAGGGCAGGATAAAGTTTTACTGCTAATTTCCTAGCTCAGTAGGGTAGAAAATACAAAATTATCTAGCTTTAGAAATATTTGAATGTGTATGATAACACAATTTCTTATTTAAGCAGAATCTCTGCGCATCAGGGAAACAGAAGTAATTGAAAACATCTTAGAAGTGTGCCTATGTTAGAAATAGAGGGGATGCTACTGTTATAAATGGAGGGGCTAACCACAAGATCTTGTATCTGCCAAAAAAAAATACCACCCTCATGATGTATTTTAAGTTGCTGAATAGCAGATTACTGTGACTGGGTGAGAAGAAAACACAGGTTTGCTTTAGGGTGAGAGTGTTTTAGGGGAAACAGTAATTCTTGGAGGGGTCCTAATGAAATCCTGTTTCTGCTTTTCTCTTCCCTGCCAGATATCTTGTGGTGCTAGCTCTTCCCAAACCCCTGATGGTTACATTCTTTTCAGAAATCCCAAGTAGTGTCTCATTTTGGTATACTAATACTGATTAAATACTATCTAGAGAGTAACAACCCACTTGTTTAGAGCAAGGCAACATGGCGTTTGTGTTGTAGGGAAGTTTGTTAATGGAGCTTTGATGCAGCAGCTTCGTTCTTCACCAGACTTCTTCTCTTCCAATAACCTCTCTGAAGACAGTAAGCCTGGATGTGGATGGAGTCTCTGCTGTGCTCTTTAGCTGACTTTCTGGCAATAGCTTGCATATTCTGATTGACTCAATTAAATGGATTTGCAGCGGTGGGACTGTGTTTTTTTCCATTGTAGGGACAGGGCAGGCTGTGCAGCACTTGCCTACTTGTCCTCTGGTGTTTCTTGGAGTGGTGTCCCTGGAGCATGGATATAAGCCAGGCTGCTGTTTGATGATAACAGGCCAACTGTGACAGCAATGCCATCAACTGCTTATCAGGATCAGTCATAACAGTGTTCTGCTCCTATGGGGTGCCCAACTGTGTGCTGAGGCTAGAGGGACAGCTCTGGCATCTAAACCACTCAGCATCTCACCAGCTTCTATGACAAAGAACTGACCTGCAACCAGGGTCACTAGTCTGTTTTGACCATTTAAAATCCCTTTTTTTGGTGCTTATGTATAACCTGCAGTTTGCACACAGGGGAGCCAGGGTCTGTGAAGCTCATTCACAATGATGGTGGAATGTAAGGCAAATTCTCACCGTGCTGAACAAGGTGGGACAAATTGAAGCTGGGTCCTAGGATGGCTCACAGGGGAGCTGATCCAGGACTCATCTCTGGCTGTCTTGCCATGTTCAAAATGAAATAGCTAAAATGGTTCCAAGAGAGCTCTTTGCTCAATACAGTGAACAAGGGCAGTTGCATTTGAATAAAACAAGTCAGAGAAGCAGAAGCAGTGAGAACCCATGGTGCCAATGGAGGTGGTCCATCCTTTGTTGCTCTCTGTCCGTCCTTGATGTTCCTCTCTACTCAGTGTGGAGCATGCTGCTCTCCCTGACACTTTCACACCTCCCATCCCATGGTTTCCCACATCAGAGCACCTCTATACTACAGTGCAGCATGGCCTACATAAGGTCTTCTGCCGGGGCAAAGCCACATGGCCTGTCACCTGTGGGACAGCTGGGAAACCACAGGCTGAGGCTTAGCTCCAGGTCCTCCTATCAGACTTCCCTGGCTTTGTTCTGTGCCACAGATAGGGTTTTCCAGTAATATTTTTTGTCCAAGATTACCAAAAATGTTCAAGTTTCCCCTCAGCTTTGCCCTGCTACTTTTGATGTTGCAAAATGCATAATTTTCTAAAGCATTATTTTTTATCTAGACAGGGGTATTTTTTGTATGTCAAAAAAACTTGTCAAGTTTGTTTACACTCTAAATTGTGCAGAATTGAAAAATCCTGATACTCTAGTGTAAGAGAACCATGAGTGTTCTTTGCTCAGTAGGAGATCAGGGGCGGACTAGTTAAGGTTGCAACCAATACAATTTGGCGTAGAGTGAAACAATCGTGCAAACATAAACAAAAACCTCTTAAATAGCTAACTTATAACAAAATAGCTAACTCTGTGTATTTTCCCTTGGAATTTCAAATACACTGTGTTGAAGCTTCTCCTTCTTCTGCCCCAGTAAAATTTGCCTAAGAGGTTCATACCATACACCAAAGCCCCACAGTTGTGGGATGCGGCTCCTGGTATGATCTTGTGATTCTGCAGTGCAGTAGCATGATTCCTAGGCTGTAGTTTCTGGTTTGCTAGTTTAAGGGGCTTAGAGTTCTCTCACTTGCTAGTATCTGCATTTCTAGTGATCAGTTCAATAGCCTACTCCTGTAATTATTTTTATGTACTTCTTCAGAATAGACTCTAACATGCTGCAAGTACCACACAGGAAACAGTTCATTAAGCACCAAACAGTTTGATGAGTGGCGGACTGGAGGAAGGATGGATTGTGTAGAATGAGTTGAGGTATGTTAACTGCTATGAGTTTAGGAAATGGAAGAATGCAGGTATAATATCATGAAATACTTTGTA